GTGACCCAATGCCATGGGTGGGTGCACTATGTGAATGTGTGCCAGTGCCGATGGGGTAACTGAGATGACCACAGGGGTGGTGAGAAATGGCTGGAATACAAAGTCTGCCCTTCTCTGTGATGTGGCACAGGCTTCTGGCTTGTTGTCTGGCAAAAGCATCTCTCGGGAAGGCTCATCTGTCTGGAAGCACGCTGCTCTTCCCTTGGCAGTGCTAGTAATCCCTCAGATGGATAAAACTATGTGCCTCACTGCTCACTTGAATGCGTCTGGTTACAGCTTCCAGCTCTGGCTTCTTGTTACCCCGTTTTTTTGTAGATTAGTTTCATGGGAAAAGAAAGTTTGTGCAATCCCGTTGTTGATGGAAATGCGGGTGCCCACTCCTGCCTCCCCAGCCTGTGTAATCATTGAAGCCGTTGCTCAGCTGCACTGTAGGGAGGCCATTACCATCCTTTGGTTTCCCAGCAGGGCAACCTCACTGCCCACAGCACGGCTTGGTTTCTGCTTGGGTTTTTGGGGGGCATCTTTGCAGCCTCCCCAAGTTTTCCAGATTGCCTGAACGCCAAAACTGCATGAAGCATAGCCGCACGCGTCCTGCCAGGGAGGAGCTGCCCATAGCTCCTCATCAAGCTCCTTCATGACTCTTGGGGCAGCCTGAACCCATGAAATCAAAGGTGTTACTGTCCTGAAGATGATGATGGATTAGCAAATACCTTCTTGCCTTTATGTTGGACCATTGTATTAGCTCTGTTCCTGGCAGATGTGAAAAAAGTATTTATTGAGCACTTCAGTCATCTCTACCCAACAACAGGCCATACACTTTTCTCAACATATTTTACGTTTCCCCAGTGGTCTCTGTACCTGCATTGCTCCCTGGTGGTTTCAGTCTCCCTTGTTTATTTCCAAGTGACACAACTGTGAATTAAATTGCTCTGTCTCTCTCTCTTTTTTTTTCCCTTCACTTTTTTGCTGCCTTCAGCACCAAACCAGGGCAGAATTTTGGCTGAAAATATTCTTTCTTCCTTCTGCACTCGTAGCTTTCAGCTCAGACAACAAACCTTTCTGGAAAGACTCCCTCCTTTTGTTTTTGGGGGGTTTTTTTTGGTCAATTCTTACTGATCTTTGTTTTTCTCAGTATTTTTTCCTCTCCCTGGCTTACGAGCAATTTTGAAGCAACAGCTTCTGCTGGTTGATGAGTCATATTCAAGGCTGTGAGAGGTGCTCTCAGCCATCACCTTGTGGGTGGCATTAGCCAGCATGTGTGTTGGAGAGCCTAGGATGTGGCGTTGGGGTTGCTGATGGGGTTTCCTCCCTCGCCAGCATGGGTGCCCCTTTCCATCACCTCTCTGCGAGCCAGTCACCCATCTCTGGGTTTTTCCCCTTAATTCTTACTGCCCATCCTTAGCCTCGTAGCCATAATGGCCAAATCCTCTTCTCAAACAGGATGTGTGGTTAGGCCGTGGCCTTGCAGCAGCGTGCCACTGCCCAGAGGAGACCGCAGCCCATCCAGGAGCTGCTCGGGCATTGCCTGTCCACCGGCTGTGCTTGCAGAGAGCCCACAGCCTCCGGAGCACGATTTTTACTCCTTTCTCTGTAAAGCCTTTTCAAGGAAAATCCCCTGGGATGCTTTTTATATAGCTGTAAGCTGGCTGTCTGCATCTCTCTCTCTATTTTTTCCCCTTTTTTTTTTTTTTTTTTTTTCTTGAGGAAGGAGGTGCAGCTGAGGACATGGTCTGAAGAGAGCTCCTGGTCTGAAAGAGAGCTCCCTTGCTGACCTAAAGCCCTTTTGTGCTGCTTTAAAAGAAAATATGCCCAACAGAGAGCAGCAGGAGCAGCTGTACCCATAGCATGTCAGGTAGCCGGAAGGATTTAACCCTGTCGTGGCAGTCCTGCCTGGTCCAGGCTAGGCAGCCCCAGGGTGCCTGTTGTGGACAGGGTTGTAGTGTCATTACCTCAAACGCTCCCTCAGATAATGAGTCCCTCCTGGCTTGAACCTCTGTGAGAGTGCCTGAGGCCACGCTGCGAAGGTTTGTGTCCTTCCTCACCTCTGTAAGGTGCTTGGCAGGAGCAGCACCTGCCTCTTGTCCTTGTCCTGTCCCTGCTGTTGGGTTTGCAGCATGCTCCCTCGGGTGTCTCTCTGGGGGTCCAATCTCCGTCATGTCCCTGAGCTTGTGACAAAGACCGGTGGAGCGATTTGGGCAAAACCGATCTCTGTGGACCCATGTGGCAGCACTCCGGCTCTGGACTGGCATTGATCCTGCACAGGGCTCCTGCGCATCTGTCCTCTGCCAGCACCAGGGAAGGGCTGGGTCTGTCAGCAGACAGGGTGCAGTGCTGAGGCCAGCACCCGTGGGCAGCTCTGCACGTGAGCAGTGCGACCATGTGTGTGTGTGCAGGATAAACCCGTGCACCTTCACGGGGTGCCATGCCTGGTTCAGCCCCCGCAGCTCTTCCCTGCGCCCTGCCATTGGGACACAGGATGCAGCCAGATAGCGTTTTTCCTCGGCCCCTGGTAGGGGGCCGCAGCTCTCCCCCCTGCCCTCCCCTGGGGCAGCCAGCTCCTTGCCTCTAAATGGATTGCAAACCCATTCTGCTAATGCAGCCGGGCTGTCCATTATGGGCACCGTCTCCAGCCGGGGGGATGGGACCGGCCTGCGTAGCGCTGGAAGCGGCTCAGCATTGCTGATGAGGTCCTGTCTGCTTTTAAGTCATCAATATTTTGCTGTAATGTGCATTCCAGACACTGCAGACAGGCTGTGGCTCTCCTCAGAGACACAAATTAATAGCAACAGGGCCATTAGCCTGTCACTTGGAATCAGTGCTCGTGGCAGGATCTGCCTGCGCAGCCTTGCGTGGCTTGCTGCCCGTGCTGTGCCGGGAAATGGCCTCGCTATGCTGAGTAGGTTTTATGGAGCCCACAGCGATGGCACGGGGGAGGGGGGGGCAACACGCTGTAGGCCAAAGGAGAAAATCCTGCTTTGCCACGGTGAGGCTGGAGATACGTGAGCTGAAGTCCTCCCCTGTGAGCCGGGGCAGTTGCAAAAGGGGCTTTGCCACATGCGAGCGGTGAAAGCCACTGCCCCTGTGTCACCCTGCAGTGAGAGCCCGTGCTGCTCCTGCCTGGGATATGCCCTCGCCTCCCTGCCTGCACACACCTACCCCAGCGTTGGCACTGTCCTTGTCCCCAGATAGACCCCTCACACCCCACTGTATGGCCGTGCTCCCCAGGGGAGACACAGCGCAGTGTGGCCGGCCATGTACCTCCCTTTCGCCGTGGGCTTCATCTTGAGTTAGCCAAGAGCGGGACGGTGTGGGCAGGACCTTGGCTGGTGACAGGAGCCAGCAGTGTTCCCTGCAGCTGGACCCCTGTCTCTGGGGCGGGTCAGGAGCCGACAGGAGGCTGGGGCCAGCTGCACCCCCTAACCCTGCCTTCATCTCTCCTTGCAGGAGCAGCCAGGGCTTCATGCACATGAAACTGTCCCGGACCCAAGAGAACAAGTATGTGCTGGGTCAGCACAGCCCACCCTTCGACAGCGTGCCGGAGATCATTCATCACTACGCCAGCCGCAAGCTGCCCATCAAGGGGGCTGAGCACATGTCCTTGCTTTACCCGGTGGCTATCCGTACCCTATAGTACTCACCTCCCATGAGCCAGGGTCGAGGCCGGGTGCACCCGAAACTGGCCCATCTGCAGCGCTGAGCGCCGCCGTGCTGAGGACAGGCTCCAGACTGGCAGCCCACGAGCAGCTTGCTGGGCACGGCTGGCGCTGTTGGGGATTGCTGCAGCTGGACCCCTCGTCCTGCTCTCTTGGGGGGCTCCTGGGTGCTGGTTTGCCCGCTGGGACAGTGCTTGGGGGACCACCTGTGCGAGGAGCTGAGTGGCGCTCGCCGCCTGCCGGCTGCCCTCACCTGCCTCCGGGCAGAGCTCGGGACGTGTGGACTGGAGCTGGGGCCTTGGAGAGGCCGGGGAGGGGGGTGATGTGCAGGAAAATAGGGAGAAATCATCCAGTAGCAGGCCTGAGGTGCCTCTGTGAGGGTGCCTGGTTCTGCCCAAGGGAGATGAAATGGCTGTGCCAGCAGGCAAGGAAGCTGGCAGGGGGCGAGCACGGGCCTGCCTGGGGCTAGCAAGGCGTGGAGGGGCCAGGCAGGCTGCTAGTGGCCCCCACCCACACGGGTGCTCTGTACTCGCTGCTATCCTTTGCCAAATGTAAATAGTGACTGGTCTTGGCTGCGCGTGCAGCACCACTGCCTAATAAAGCGGTGCATGGTCGCTTCCTGCTCCATGGTGACCACCATGCATCCCATCACCTTGAGTGAGGGGGGATCGGTGTGGTAAAACAACAGGGAGGGGGATTTTATTGCACAAAAGCTCTAAGCGAACTGATTTTTCCTTCACTCACGTATACACCGACACCCGTGTGCCCAAACAGTCCAGCCAGCTCACTCGTCTGAGACACGGGGGACAAGAGACGCTGGTGGTCGTGTCCCTGCTATGTCTTTGGGGCCCTTCGTGGGCAGCAATGAGCTGATTTTGGACTTGCCTGTTATTCCCTGTAGAAGTAGGTGCTCTTTGGGAATTTTTGCCTCCTTGTTTTCCTTCACCTCTCATAAGTGATCTCCTTCTATGATCAGGTGACCCTCCCTAGTCGATGAGGGGAAGGCTGTGGATGTGATTTGCCTGGACTTTAGCAAAGCCTTTGACACCGTCTCCCACAGCATTCTCCTAGGAAAGCTGGGGGCTCATGGCCTAGACAGGTGCACATTGAGCTGGGTTAAAAACGGGCTGGACGGCCGAGCGCAGAGAGCGGGGGTGAATGGAGTTCAATCCAGCTGGCGGCCGGTCACAAGTGGTGTCCCCCAGGGCTCGGTATTGGGACCAGTCCTGTTTAACATCTTTATTGATGATCTGGATGAGGGGATTGAGTGCTCCCTCAGTAAGTTTGCAGATGACACGTTGGTCTGCTCGAGGGTAAGGAGGCTCTGAGAGGGATCTGGACAGGCTGGATCAATGGGCCGAGGCCAATGCTATGAGGTTTAATAAGGCCAAGTGCCAGGTCCTGCCCTTGGGTAACACCAACCCCATGCAATGCTACAGGCTTGGGAATGAGTGGCTGGAAAGCTGCCCAGCAGAAAAGGACCTGGGGGTGCTGGTCGACGGCCGGCTGAACATGAGCCCAGCAGTGTGCCCAGGTGGCCAAGAAAGCCAACAGCATCCTGGCCTGTGTCAGGAATAGTGTGGCCAGCAGGAGCACGGAGGTGATAGTGCCCCTGTACTTAGCACTGGTGAGGCTGCACCTTGAATCCTGTGTGCAGTTTTGGTCCCCTCACTACAGGAAAGACATTTTGCTGCTGGAGCGTCTCCAGAGAAGGGCAATGAAGCTGGTGAAGGGCCTGGAGAACAGGTCTGTGAGGAGTGGCTGAGGGAACTGGGGGTGTTTAGTCTGGAGAAGAGGAGGCTGAGGCTGAGACACCTTATTGCTGTCTGCAACTACCTGAAAGGAGGCTGTAGTGAGGTGGGGGTTGGTCTCTCCCAAGTAACAAGCAATAGGACAAGAGGAAATGGCCTCAAGTTGCGCCAGGAGAGGTTTAGGTTGGATATTAGGAAAAATTTCTTTATGGAAAGAGTAGTCAAACATTGGAACAGGCTGTCCAAGGAAGTGGTGGAGTCACTGTCCCTGGAGGTGTAAAAAAAAACGTGTAGATATGGCACTTCAGGACATGGTTTAGTGGGCATGGTGGTATTACATCAATGGTTGGACTTGATCTCAAAGGTCTCTTCCAACCTAATGATTCTATGATTCTAAGTCTTAAGCAAAATCCCTAAATTTCACAGATCTCCTCCTCCTCCAAATATTTACTGGCTCCAGTCCTGTTCTTCATCTTCCTGACACCTTGTCTTTGGGCCAGCTTGCTCCTTCTCGTTCTTTGGCTGAAGCTACATCTGGTGTGCTGTAGCATTTAATGCATACCTTGCCTTTTAACCTTGTTCCTGGTGTTGCTTGCCACTGTACCCACACGCGTACGTTTCCTCCATCCATGCTTCAGACTAAGCTCAGTCTCGCTGTTACTCCCCTGCAGCACGTTCCCTTTCCCCTCTGCTCCCTGGATGGTCCTGCTGTCCTCAGCAGAGGGGATGGCAGCAGCAAATTCGCTGCTGGACCAGCAAAACCTTTTGCATCAGCAGAGCAAAGTGCTTGGGGCATTGGTAGGATGTGTTAGCAGTGGCTTGATGAAGGCTTTGTGAAAAAGCATCATCCTCCCGACTGCCTGCTCCCAGGAAGGAGCTGGTCCTGCTGGTTTGCTGGAGGGGATGGAGGTGATTGCTGGAACCCTAGGCACCATGTGTGGCTGAGTGCCCCAGCCACAGGAGGAACCCTGCTCCGGGGCTTTGGGGTGTTCCAGGCTCAATCTGTAGCCAGGGAAATCACTGTCCTGGCTGCCTGTCACGGCTGTGAGCTGCTGTGGGGACCATCGGGCTCGGCCAGCGTGGTCCCTGAGTGCACGCAGTGGTTGGGAGCCAGCAGAAACGGCAGTGGTTTGTTCCAGGATGCCTCAGCCTCTGCCGCTCCTTAAAAGGCAGCAATTTGAGCTCATCGGGCGCCCCGTGTCTCCTTACAGCCCTGCTTGGCTGCTGGCAGCTCCCCTGATGCCTCTCTCCATCCCAAGGAGGCGCCTTGTCCGGCAGGGATGGAGGCGACTGCAGCTGGAGGGTTTTTCTCCTAGCAGTGCCACACCAGAGCCTGCAGAAAAGGCTGAAGATGTAGAGATGCTCTTGGATGCCTTTGCTGCATTTAAAATGTTTCAAGGGCCCTTTGCAGCCCTGCTGTGCCCTTACGGGATACTCTGCCTTCTCCGTGGCCACGGCTGGGAAAGCAGAGGCTTCTTGGGTCTGTGTGGCTGGGGAACAAGGGCACAGGAGAGGGTTTTTTCCTAGAGAAGCTGTGCCAGGGAGCAAACTGCCTGGCAACCAGTGCTGGCTGTATCAGCAAGCTCACAGCCTGATGGTGAAATCTGCCCGAGCAGCCTGGCTCCATCTCAGGGGCAACTCCACTGAGTGCTAAGAGGTGAGAGAGATCTGTGTGCATTGTGTCAGCTCCCCAGAAACAGTCATGGACCAGCTGGACTGCTCTGGAGCTGGGCTTTGTGTCCAAGTGCTTCAGCTAAGCAGCTCTCAATCATCCCTGTGGCAATTACATCCCTCCTCAGCCCTCTCTTCTCTGGGCTAAAAAAATCCCAACTCCTCAAGCATCTCCTTGTACATGTTCTCCAGCCTTGACCATCCTAGCAACCCTCTGCAGCACTTTCTCTTTGTACTTGGGGTCAAAAACGGGACACAGTGTCCAGGCATGGCCTCACCAGTGCCAAATAAAGGGAAATAACCACTTCTTTTGACCTGGCTACACTCATATGGTATCTTGGGTTGAAAGGGACCTCAGGAGGTCTCTAGTCCACTCTTCTGCTCCAAGCAGTGTTAGTGCTGACAAGAGTCCAGAAGAGCTTTTTTTTGGAGGGAAGGTGAACTGCCCTAAGCCCAGCGAGGTTTTTTTCCCCCCTCTTCATAGCATTACCAGGAGAGACTGTACAGCAGTGACAGAGAGCTGCAAATTCATTGCAACCTGAGGGCAATGTCTCCAGCCCAATGGAGCCTCCAGCTCCATGTGGGCCCTCACATGGTGTAAGAGGTCCAACAAGAAAGATGCAGGAGCAGGGTGCAGGACTCAGAGCCATAGCAAAGAGCCAGCCCACAGCTCTTCTCAAATGCTGCAGATCCAAGCAGGTCCTGGGTCCTGTTTCGACCCAGGGGGTCTCATTTTGGGATTCCCATGGAAAGTATATGGCTCTGGGTCTGGCTGGTGCATTGCTTCCTCTGTTTGTGACGGGAACTGATCAGGAGCTCCCCAGAAAATCTGAATTGAATCTCTCTTGCAAGGGTATTTTAGTGCTCCCTTTGCCATCCCACGACTGAAGTGACTGTTCTTTGGGAATGGGGTGGGTGGGGGCAGCCATGCAACAGGGCTAGAGCAGTGACGGGGGATCCCCATTCATCAGGATGCTAATCCCCAGGACAGACAAGGGCCTGAGCAACCTGATGTGGCTTTGAGGTTAAACCTGTTGGGAGCATGAAGGCTGACCAGAGACCCTTGTCTGTAGCAATTCCCAATCCACTTGTCCCTGCAATCCCCTGTGTCCTCCCATCTGCCTCTGTTCTCTGTCCCTCCTCCCTGCAAGTGAAACAGCTCTGTCATTCATTGCCTGATCTCTAGTCCCTTGCTAAGCCCTCCATAATCGCTGAGCTGTTTTAGCATGCTGCAGGCCCTGATAATGAAGGAAGGAAGTTTGTTTTGTAATTGGATTAGCACTGCTGGGAACATGCTCTTGCACGGCGGTCAGGGCTGAGCTGGCGCAGCCCCCGAGCCCCGTGCTGCTCCGCCTGGTTGTGGGCCAGCTTGGGGCTGTGCTTACTCCTGCATAGGACTTCAGTGGCCAAAAGATGCAGTCTTGCAGGAGGAAGGCAACCAAGAGGGATGAAAGGCTAATCCAGGGCAGAATTTGAGCTTGCCCTCCTTGGAAACTGGGGTGTGTTTGCTGAAACTCTGTCATAGTCCCTAATGTCTCCCACCTGCTGGAAATTAA